AATTAGTCACCTGTTCCTTTCTTCTCTGTAAAGAAGGCAGCCAGTCAGGGTTACAATAAAGTAAAAAATCAGAACTGGAGAATGAATAAAACTGGACTAGGGTGTGGAAATTAAAATAAGGCAGAAGTGTCATCTGAAGTGTTTGAGAAAGGGTTTACACACAATTGTAAAAGTATGGACTAAAGTGAAACCTGATAAAAAGAAAAAGGACAGATGACATTTCTCAAGTCAAATAATACAATCATGATCATATTTTAACTTTATTCTGGCATATGCATGTTCTTCTTAAGTGTAGTCTTAAGTTTAACTGAGTAATAAGTCAGGAATTGGGTCTCTGCAGAGGCAAAATGGTTTCTTTACCTAGAAAGCATCATACATTTCCAGAGAAACATTTTAGACCTATCTTCTGAAACACTAAATATAGTTTATAGTGTATTGTGTCAGACCAGTGTTTTAATTTGGCAGGCAAAGCAGCAGCTCTGACTTTACTCTTTTTTTGTCGTTTGCAGGTTTGTGTGCAGCTTGGTTTACTATGGTCTTACCCTTAATGTGGGTGACCTAGGTGGAAGTATTTATGCCAATTTAGCCCTTTCAGGGTTGATAGAAATCCCAGCATACCCAATCTGTATTTACTTGATTAACCAAAAATGGTAAGTATGGACTCTATCAACCCATTCAGGGTTTGGCTTTGTTATAATTTTTCTCAAAGATAGGTTTCCTGTATGTTACACCTCTTAGCTTATCTCTGTTGCGCAGGGCTTCCTGCTTCAGTGTTACTACTTCATTATATTCTCCTGAGAAACGCATTTTTATTTGAAAGTGCCATTAATATGTCTTTATTTCAAATAACAGCAGTTTAACTTGTTCTGAGTAGCTCACTTATTAATGAGCTGTCTAAATTTGACTCGGAGGTGATGCTCATCTCCTGTATCAGTTGAACCTAGCTGTGCTGACTCCATGCTAACACAAGATGGCATTCTTCCCACCTCTGTCTTGCAATCCGCATTCTCACTGTTAGGTCAAAGCTGTTGCAACTAAACTCAACTGAAGCTGCCGTATTTTTTCATGTGATAGCTGCTGTGTCCACTAGGATATGAGCCGAGCTGTTGATTCAGATATTGAGCCTTTTCCTGAGTCGTGATAGTCTGGACAATGTCTTTCATTTTTTGTAGAATTCACCTCCCAGTCTCTTTTCCAAATGTCTCCTGAGGAATTTTACAGATGTGCACACACAGTGGGAAGCAAATCAAAATTATAGAAACTGTCAGCCACTGCATAAAGACTTCTTAATGCTCATTTTAAGACTGCAGTAGAAGCTTGTTTAAGATCAGTGTGAGAGGAAGCATTTGTGAGAGATGGCATTCAGAATTTTCAACTGCAAATAGAGGCAACGTGAATTTAGAGGACTCATTGCTCTGCAAACTACAGATCTAACGTGGAATAAAGCTTTGTTATCCTTGCATATCAGGTTTGGTCGGAAGCGAACACTGAGTGCGTTTCTATTCCTGGGAGGACTGGCTTGTCTTATTGTCATGTTTCTTCCTAAAAAGAAAGGTAAATATTTCCTTTTGTTTCTGGAGTATGTCATGAGAAGTTGTAAACACAGCATCCTACAGCCTAAGAATTTGATGGTTGCCAGTAGATGAGGATCATACCACATGTGAGTCTCAATTTTTGAAGCCGGAGAAGCTAACTTGCAGAAAGGATAAGCAGCAACCTTCTGAAGAACTTAAGGAAAGCTTGTTAAAAGGCTTGGATTTGAACTTTTGTCTTTGGATTCTGCATTTACTTCTGTCGCTCTTTACATCAGTCGCTCCTTTCCAGTGTTTCTGACTTACCCGAAGAAACATCATTTTTTGGGATTATCTCTCTTTGCTTACACTGATCTGTCATTTAGCTGTGCCCATGCGACTTGTATGTATCTCTCCGAGTGAACGACCCATGTCAAAAGATCCTAAGAATTGAATCTTGGGGCAAATTTCCATCTTCCATTACTGCTCTATGTTGTTCAATATGGTGTGATGGTGGTATCAGTAATGTAGCCACCTAACTTGTAACTCTGAAAATCTTCTGAAGCAAGAGGTGTTTAAGAAGTGTGAAGTGAAATGTCTTTTTTGTAAAGACACACTAATGTTCACTTCATTTTTGGATGTTTTTCAAAATGATAGAAACAAGATTCCACAATGAGCAATTTTTCCTTTTAAAACTACATACATAAATTCATCTAAGCTTGTAAGATCTGTGTATGTATAACATCTGTCATAAGGATAGAAAATGCTTCAGATATTTGAAGCATGATTCAAAAAGATTAAACATTTATGATGGGAGAGTGCATAAGTTGCTCTAGATGGCAATGAATCTAATAGGTAAAACTTTTTTAAGGGGTGCAACTCAAGTTTCCAGAAGTATTCCAGATGCTAGAGCCCAGACACTCGGATATTCTGGTTAGGCTGGTACCAGTATCAGTCCAAGTAGAACATGTGAAACAGATTTTTCAGAGGATAGAACTGTGAAACTCCAGGAAATCAGCTGTGTGCTGAACTGCTGAAGTCAGCCCGGAGTGAAGTGCCTTAGGAAGTGAAATGGCTAACTGGCCAGAAGCAGGCACCTGTTTCTGCTGAGCATGACTTGTTCAAAGCAGTAGTGGCTTATGCTGTAGCCTTCCTTGGTAGGCATTTAAAGTGTATTCTAATGTGCCTGGCATAAGCAAATAAGCACCGGCTGTTCTGACAAAACTGAGCTGGGTGGGATATTTGGTATGGTTCTTTACAGCATCTTCTTGGCTTTTGTTTTTCTTCCAAAGTAATAATGTTAGAAGTATGTTACCATACTATGCAATTGACACTGAATAGGATTCCTCTTACTAAAAAACACTTGCTCACTTTTGAAAAATATATCCATGATTCTTCAACTTACTAACAGAACTAGTTTAGTATTTTATTAGTGGTAGACTTGAAAAATGTAGAGTTTTAGTTTTAGCTTTTACTATATAGGGGTTTTTTATCATACATTTCTAAAATTTGATGTTCTAGAAGAACCTTAATACAGGACTTTAATGCTTCAAAGATGTCGCTTATTTTAACACTGAGGTCAAGGAAAGGAAAACTGAGTTTCTCTTTTTTCTGGTATTGAGCAGTAGTTCCATTCTGTAGTCCCTGGGACTGTTCAGTCATTTAACCCAGTCTTTTTCTATTGGATTATATTTAATAGAATGGAAACAATTTTTGACTAGTAGCAAGTCCTGCCATGAATTTAAAATACATTTCTTCAGTTATTTTTTTCAGTGTGTTACATGGAGAGAGTTCCTCTTTGTACGAATTTGATTGCACAGATAAAGGTAATAAATCTGTAGACATAGAATGCAAATTTTGTTGGATGATTTCTGCTGTTACTGCCTAAAAGAAGGCTCCTTAGATTGTCTTGAGTTGAGAGTTCTCCTGAAGGTACAGATCACCTCTGACAAATACTGTCCTTTGATACCCAAGCATTTTTCCATTATAGCAGATTCTTCAGTAGATTCCTTTTCACTCCATACTGTTATGTGATTGAAATGATTATGGAGATGTGTCTAAGTGCTCAAATCCTGACAAAGATCACATTTTTTTCTCTGTCAGATACTGGAGTGTTTGCAGTGGTGAATAGTCGCTCTCTGTCTTTGCTGGGGAAACTGACAATCAGTGCTGCATTTAACATTGTCTACATCTACACATCGGAACTTTATCCCACAGTGATCAGGTAACACACGTTAATTTTAAGGTCTTCATTTTTCTGAATCTCTTATCTGATCACCTTTTACTTCTCTATTACTTTTTTCTATTAACTATACTATTTCATTTGAGATTTTCAGTTGTGTATGATTATCTGTGGTTTTATATGCTAAATTTCTTCCCTTATCCTCTCCTCACTTCCTCTGCCCTCAAATTTGCAGTCTCTCTTCAGATTAACCATAATCTTTATGTAAGAGTAAAATAGTCCTTTGGCTGCTTCGTATGTTCACAGCCCTCTCTCTACTAATAAGGATAACAATAGTATTGGTGATATTTCTTTAATGAATGATATCTGTAACTTTTTCAGTGCTTTGTAAACCAGACAACTCAAACATTCATACTTGCTTAACCAGCAAAACTGAAGATGGCTGGTCAATAAACTTTGTAAAAGTAACTCGATGCTTCATAGGCCACATGTAAGCAACAGTAAGATTTCACTCAGTAGAGGCAGAAGTACTTTGTGCTTGTGCTGACAGAGCAGAGAAACATCTATCACATGGATGCAATTTTTAATAGATATTTTAACCAGGTATTATTGTTGATGATCAGCCACCAGTGACACTATACCATGGTGCCTTTCATGGATGGGCAAATCTTGCTGATAAATAGGATTTGGATAGAGGAATTTAGCCAATTTCAGGGAGAGACAAGATGCGTTAACTGAAATGGCAATTTTTTTGCCTCTATATGTGTATGTATGTTAGAATTCTGAATGTACAGAGGATTTTTGCTTCTCTGAGCACAAAGCATATGTTTTAATTCCTGTCTTGGGATGCTTTCAGTTATGTTTGACTTTTCTTTGCCAGTTAATGTGCTCAGGGTCATGACTGATTTTATTTTTTTTTTCCTTGCTCAATGGCACTTCTCAAAAGTTGTAACTTCTCTTATGCAAATGTTATTGATTAATGATTATTTTTGTTTTCTTAGGAATGTTGGAATGGGTGCCTGCTCCATGTTTTCCCGTGTTGGTGGAATCATTGCTCCTTTCATACCTTCATTGGTTTGTCTGAACTTCTCACTGTTATGTATATTTTTGTTTTGTGGCTCTGTATCAGAGGCTTACAGAAGTGGGAATATTTTGGATAAATTATGTATATAAAATATGTAAATTGCATGTCTTAACAATATTATGGTCGGCCAAAGACATTGCAATATAATCTGTATGATAAGACAAAAATTCAAAGTTATTTAATTCAGAAAGTGTTTTAACCCTGTAAGAATTTTGGGACTTAGCTACTGGACTTTAGCAATATAGTAATTTCAAAATACCAAGATGGTGATACCCAATTTTAAACGCTAAGTGAGCAATAACGAAACACCCCACATAGTTAAAAGATCTACTGCATCAAGATAAAACATATGGGCTCAATAACTCATACTTCTGAGAATAAATTAGTTTTTCTGTCAGTGCACTTCATTGCTGACAATTATAATCCATGGATATTCAAAGTGATTTATCTTTCAATGAATGAAGATGGTGTGGGGACCTGATATACCTCCAAGGCTTTTGAGCCCAAACTTCACAGAAGTCTGTCAAGGTAAAGAAAAATTCTAAAGCACGGAACATGGGGATGATACTGTTATTTTCCTCTATGTTCATAGTCTTATGTGTATGCAGGTAAAAGTGGTAAAAATTTTCACACAACCTGCTTGTTGAGGTCAAGTGACAGTTCCTTTAATGTGACAGACTTAATCTGGAATAACTTTCTTCTCTGTCATTTGCTATCTTATGTCAGGTAGAGGGCTAGCAAAAAGGCAGATGAGCACAGTGAGCCTTTTAATCTGCAGAATGAAACATTGGGTAGGGAAACACTGGATAGGTAAAAGTGCGAGCACCTCCACGATACAACAGGCAAAGCCAAGACGGGTGCAGGTCTCCCAGGAAGATTTAATAGGCAGCTTTTATGTAGCAGTTGCAGCATCCATTATGTTGTATCTAGCAGAGGTTTGGCATTGCAGGAGACACAAATCTTGGATCATCATATTTGAAGGGGGTCCCATGAAAGTGAAAATAGCTCTGTTTAAATAACAAATGAACATTGATTTGAGGGAAAAAATAAATATCTTTGTTTTTGGAATTTCTTCAACTATTTTAATGCATTTTCAGTATCTCTTGTCTGAGGATCTTATGAAAAGGGTGGGAATGGGAAAAGTTAATTGCTGAGATAAGAGATGAAATGATGCTCTTGTATTTCATCACAGCCTGTTATTTTCTCAATTTAGAATTGTTCTTTTCAAAAACTCACTTTGTATAGTAACAAACAGCTAAACTCTTGCCTTTTTTAAATGAGCCTGCTTTACTGGTTGTCTAAAAGTGAACACACACATTTTGAAGCTATATTGTAGATGAATTATATTTTTGCACACACCTTTCCCCATTATAGTTTTGTTTTGTAACAAGCCATGTGAAAACAGGGACAGCCATCAAAGGAGGAGTATAAACACTGCTTAGGCTGTCGGGGTGATGACAAGAAGGCCAAAGCCCAGTTGAAGCTAAAACTAGCAAGGAGCATAAATAGAGATTCCATCAGCCAAAGGAAATTCCGAGAAAATGTTTGGCCCACTGTTAAATGGGATGGACTTCCTATAGGTGGATGGGATGGAATAAACTGAAATACTTAACTTTTGCTTTAGTCTTCATAGGCAAAGCCTGACCCAAGACTCTGCATATCAGCACAGTTGAGGAAGCAGAGGGCCAGCAAACAGTGGAGGAGCAATAGGTTCAAGAACACTTAAAGCTGAAAGCTTTCCATTCCATGGGATAGCATTCCGTAAGAGGTGATGAAAGAACTGGCTGTGATAGTGAGGCAAGTGTCCGTCATATGTGATAAACCTTTGTTGTAGAGAAGAGTCAGTAATAGCTGGCGGGGGCGGTGGGGGGGGCTAATGCTATGTGCATCTTTAAGATTAGGAAGTGGATCCAAGGAGTTATGGACTGAGCAAGATCTGGGAAGATCATGGGACATGACTACTCAGAGTCTGTTTCTGAGCATGTAAAGGACAAGAAGACAATTGGGACCAGTGAGCATGGATTTACTAAGGACAATTCATTCTCAGCCAGTTTGATAGCCATTTCATCACAGAAGGTAATATGGATGAGGAAAGGGAGAAGAACAGGAAAGGCTTTTGTAAAGCTTTTGACACTGTCCCACAGCATTCCTGTTCGGAAGCTGAGGAAGTGTCCTGGATGAAAGGAATATTAGATTTGAATATTGCATGGACCACCAGGCTCAAAGGGATAGTGGCAGGCTCAGTATTTGGTGACTGGTGGCAAGTGGAAGATAAGACAGAATACATCCTCCTCATATTTTTAAAGGATGCAAAATAAGGAGTGATTGACACACCAAGTCGTAGATCTTGAGTCCAGTGGGACCTTTTGGACCTACAGGAATCCCATGAAGGCCAACAAGAATAAAATTCTGTTTCTAGTGTGGACTAATTACATGGTCAGTACAGGCTAGGAGCCAACTGGCTGAGAAACAGCCTTGCTGGAAGAGATAATTTGAATGGGATGCTAGTTAAATGGGATGACAATTTAAATGGGAGCTAGCAGCGTCCTTATCACAAACGGGCAAACTTCTCACTGAGCTACATGAGGCCCAATTCAGTATGTGGCCTACAGATTAAGTTCTCTCCCAGTTCTAGAGCAATGTTGAAAAAAATCTGGGGAGGGTCCAGTGGAGGGTAACCAAGATGGTCGGGGCCTGGATCACATGGCTTCAGATGAAATCTTGAGGGAATATTGTACCTTTGATCTTCCCAGCAGCATGGAACAATTCAGCGGTGGTCAATGGCCACAAGTTTTGACTTGGGAGGTTAGATAGGAAATTGGGAAAATATTCTTTGAGAGGCTTAATGCAACCCTGAAACAGTCTACTCAGAGGGGTAATCACTGTCCTTGGAATTTTTTCAATACTTGGTTACACAAAGCTATGATTGAGCTGGTCTAGTGTTGGCTGTAGTCATGCTTGGAGTAGGTGGTTGGCCTAGATGACCTCAAGAGATCTCTTCCAACCAGCATGTCTGTGATTCTATGATATCTCTGGCCTACTACAAAGTGATGTTGCATTTCTTAAAAAGTACTTGTGTTATGGACAGGAATTGAGTATCAATTCAACAGGCATTTCTTTTAAAGTCCATCTCAAAATCTGTGTGGATCTAATAGTATTGGTAAGATACAACTGACAATATTGGTTAAACAGTAGGATTTGTAATTTTTATGCTAAATACGAACACAAACACTTGCCAGATGGAATGGTTGTAAAGGTTAAGTGCTTTAATATGCTGTATGAACTAGAGGGAACCAATTTCAACCTAACTCTCTGTTCTTTTCTCCAGAAATCTGTACAGTGGTCTCTGCCTTATATTGTGTTTGGAGCAACTGGTCTTTTGTCTGGGCTCTTAAGTTTATTGTTGCCAGAGACCTTAAACAGCCCTTTGCTAGAAACTATTTCAGACCTACAAGTATGCTCGTACTGGAGGCTGGGTGATGAAGCCATGTCATTGCAAGCCCTAGATGGCTCACAGGTATATTCTTTTTTTTTTCCTGGTACTTTTCTGTTGTGTTTGTTTCAGCTGTCAGCTTGAATATGCCACTCTAAATAGATCAGGATAGTGATTCTTGGCCTGTGGAGGATAGACCCCAAGGAGATATAGAAGATAGTTTAGTAACCTCACAATCACGTCTGAAAATTGTCTGAAAATGCAGGCTGAAACTAGCTGGGTTAATTCATCCCTTCAAGGCCAAAAGCTTACTGTCCTTTCCTTTGGGATAAAGGACTCAGTGGTGTCTGTGCCTCTCTAATCTCCAAGATGGATTGCTGCAGTGTGCTTCATGCAAAGCTGGCCATTGAAGTTTGAGAAGCCTTAGATGTTAAAAAACAGAAGCCTGTTTGTGAAGGACTGTTCTCAAAGGCAGTACACTACTTCTGCCCTAACCTGCGCTGGCTGTTCTGTGATGTCAATTGTTAGGTCTATCTTAGAGAGTCTTTAAATGGGTTAAATCCAGGCTAACATCTGAGATCTGTCCCAGTGTTGATCCTGGGAAATGAGATTCATTGAAAATGTTGCAACTACAAAACTCCCAGACAAAAGCATAAATAAATGTGGCAGCAGGATGTTTTTCAGTGAAGTTTCCTTGAATGTTGTTTTTTCATACCACTTTATACTTTTTTTGTCAAACTCCTGGACACCTCTTGAGGAGTGTACATCTTGCAGTCGTGTGGAGGTTTTTTTACATGACTGCTCCCCTGTGAATGGAGTGGGATTAGAGAGAAGAAGCTAGAGAGCTGGAAGTGGGTGTTTGAATTTGGGTAAGGTTTTAATGCTTAAATCCTGGTCCCCAAATTTTAGGTATTAATGGCCTAATAAAAATTGAATAAGTGGTCAGAAGACTTGAAGGGCAACTCGTAACAAAAAATGTTAGTTGTCCCATTAGGCTGAGATGAGACGGGATCCTTATAACAGCTTTTACTTTCATTTGACTAATTTTTGCTCAAACAGCTTGAGATTCACAGGTAGTCAAACTTATTTTCACAGAAATCAGGAGGCAGAGTAACATTTATTTCTAGAATGAGAAAAGTTGCTTCCTTTCAAAGGCTTCAACAAGTTCCTTGTTTACCAATTTTTAGCTGTAATATTCTTGACAGGACAGCACAGTTTAGTGACAAAAGCACCCTTGAAAGCTTGAAAGAGGCAGCCTTGTAACAACTTTATACTTTAGCTACTTTACATGCACATTTTTTTAAACATTTTTAACCATACTAGATAACGTGTTATGGCACCACATTCTTGCCGGCTACACAAATCCATCATACATTTATATCAAGTTTACAGCAGCTGTTATTTTGGTAATTACATCATTATTATATATTAACTGTGCAGATGGCTTACTAACAAAAAACAATTCTAGCAAACAGTGCAGGTGTTACAACTTGAGGGGGGGGAGTCACATTTTTATCTTCCTTTCTAACCAAGTAAGGTCGGTGTTATCCTTTGGGGTGACAAGCTTTGCCTGTCTCACAGTATTTACACAACTTAGTTCACTTATATTAAGCAGTCTTCTCAGGATTAAATCTTCCCTGCTTGCACTTCTGCAGGCTTCTTAAAAATCCCAACCTCAACAGGATCCAGAAAAGAAAAAAAAAATTAAGAACATTCTTCAGGAACACTTTTCCCCAGATGGATTAAAATTATCGAATCCGAATGAAAGAAGTCATTGGTTCAGGCATGAAGTAATCCTGTAACTTCACTGAAGTTGTATCTGGAATGTCTGTGACACATTAGGGGTTTATTTTAAAGCTCAGAGAAAGCACTGATAAAATGGAAAGCTGTTAAACATTAACCCTATTTGACAAGGCCATGGAGAGGTCTTATGAAGCTGCTGCAAGAGAGATGTAGAATTTATTTGGCATACCCTGAATTCCCCCTGTGGAATCCATTGTCCTTTTGTACCACTTTCAAGATAACACGCGTTCCAGTTGCCCAGAATGGAGGTTTTGTCCCTGTTAACATACATGAATGTGATATTCAAGTTGGACAGCATCCAGTGATAGCCTGACTTTTCTCAAATAATTTTAGAAATCCAGAAAAAAGCGTAACATGATTCCCTTTATATCTTCTGACAGGTCTTAGTGCTCAAACTGTTTGAAATTCCTTTGCAGTTAACGCACATTGCTGTAGCAAAACTCCTCTGAAGACAGATCTAAAACTACAGATTTTGCTTGCATGGTACTGTCAGTCAGGAACATGATTTCCATTTCTCTGTTTTTCACCCTCTCTCACCCTTCTCATACAACTAGGCAGGCAGAAGTCTTAGGGTGGATGCAAGCATACTGGAAAAAAAATCCTAAATCCTCAAACTAGGAGTTTATACTAACAAGAGAGTCTTTTTAACTGGAATAATTTGTATCAGTTCCATGGAAAAATGTGACACTGGCCAAATAAAAATCAATGAGCTGTATATCTTACTTTAGTTTGGATGTGTGATATAGATTACGTTGTTAAAAGGACTCTGGCTGGAGTAGGTATGCCTATAATAGGAAGTTTACTTTCTGAACATATGAAGTGGTAATGCTTTTTCCCTTTTCGTAACACCTTGAGTTACTATTGCAGGGGAATCTTTTTGATTAAACTTGCATAGGAAAATGCCCATGCTACACATGGAGAAGCAATTCAAGATGGAGAAGCTTTTACCTAATCAAGTAATCTGTGTGTTCTGAGCCTCTGTTTCCAGTAGCTCACCACACAGTAGGGACTTTAGACTTAAGTTAGGAAAGCTGAGTAGATTATCACTTCAGAACCATTCTAGCTGGTCTCTCTCCTGCATGTATTCTCTAGTGTACTGATGGAGCAGAGAAAGTCCATCCTTTAGAAGCCTGTCTGTTTTAAAGAGATTCTGAAGAGCCAAGGACACAAAGAAATCTTAATTCACATAATGTCTCTTACAAAGTTTTAAGACAGTGATTTGACCTGTCTTGTCTTTCTTTACTAGCATTCCGACAGAGGTGTGATGGTTCATGCCTATGTATTTTGAGATTTAGTGGCTTCTGTGCTAACCAATGACTTCATTTTTGTTTCTAGTCTGGAGACAAAGACAGTTCTGCAGGGAGTGGAAGTGAAGATGAGGAGTTTTATGATGCTGATGAAGAGACTCATATGATGAAGTAATGAAAAGAAGAGGGACTGGCCTGTTTTATGCCTTTTACTTGTTCAGTCAGTCCAGCTGTAAGACAAGTACTGCGGACCTCACCTGTCGGGGAATGTAATTGGGCAAATGCCTGTGTTTTTTCCTGACTAGGAGAGGGGTTTGGGTACTGTTCAGACCAATTACACCACTGAAGCTCTCCATACAAGACAGCTGTTCAAATTCTTGTGGTTCGAAATGACAGTACACGGACTGCATTTGAAGCCAGGTGAGACAGCAAGGGTGGGATGATGTATTTCTGAAGCCTAGCAAGTTGCCTAGGCTTAGACAGACTTGAACAGATCAAGGCACATGTTTGTATTTTATTTAAGGTGTTTGATTTTGATTCAGTATAAATTGATAAACTTGAAAACACTGTTTTTTCCTGTAGAGTGAAAATGGTCACAGAATGTGCTGTATACTGCCCCAATGGGAACAAATTTGTGAAACTGTATGTTAAAATGGCTTCTGCATATTGAATAGGGGAAAAGCAACTATGAACATAAGGTTTCCCTTTCTGCACACAGATACCTGTATAGAGTTACAGGGTGCAGGTGGTTAGTCATGAGATGTGCGTTAAGTTAGTGATAATGAAAGGCTGGGAGGAAGGACTACAGAAAAGAGCAACCATAAAGCCTACAGATGTAAAGGACACTACTGATTTTTTTCCTTTTCATTCACCAAGCATTTTCTTGGCCTGTCTTATGCATATGTTTGCCACATGTTCCCCACATCTCAGCACTGCTGTTTATAGCTTTGCCTACTTTTACCTTGTCCTCACTTTATGATGAATATTGAAGCTCAGCAACTTCTCTGCATAGTGAAATAATTCTGTGAAGGATATAATTTCATGGGTGGGGCATAAGTGATGTATTTATCACATACTGTGTATGAAGTGTGTGTTAGACTATATAGCTCATTTTTGTGGACCTATCTGTGTCTTTATTTCTGGAAGAAACTTAACACTGAAGTGGTAAGAGGAGCTGTGGGTTGCTGTTACATTTTTCGGATTATTGCTAGGAAGCTGCTAGTATTTAAAAATCTTCTGTGTAGATAAAGTTCTCGGAGAAAAAAAAAAGGGGCAAACATTTTTGAGACAGCATTTTGTTACTTGATGCTGTTTCTTAACTAGATGCTTGCTCAAGCACTTCGTTACTTGACCTTGTTGAGGAGGACAACTTCACTCTCCTGTTTACACTGAACTTTCTGTAAGTGCTTCATAAATGGGACATGGAATCTTGAAATGTGAAACATGAACGTATGAAATGTTCTGACTACAAAGATGAAGCCTTACAAGGATTCAGTTTTCTTGATTACATTGTGATCTTCATCCTCTAACCTGTAGTTTTCTATTTATTAAGTTTGATTTCCGTAAAATGTTTGTTCACCTTTATACTTGGAGTTCCTAGCAAAGTGCCACACAATGGCAGCAAGTATATTGTCAGGCTTGCTAGCCACTTTTGTGGATGTTAGACTAAAACTGGATTAGAAAAAAAAAATCAAAAAGCTGACTGAGTATTTTCTGGTTAAATTGGGATGTTCCTTTACTCTGAAAGGAAGTGAAAGTAAACAGCATCTGAAGTTTCTAGCTAGTTGCTTGAACTTTGTTCAGTAGGAACTGTAACGCTGAGCAAAGTGCAACTACCCTGGTTGGTGCAGAGGGCAGCCCAGAGACTGCGGGTTCACGCATGCGGTGTTCCCACTTGGCCTGAACTTGATCCAGGCATTGACTGAGCAAGGCTGGGCACTTCAGTCCCTGTGGGCAATGTGTCAGTATTGTGATTTTTGCCTGCATTATGAGTGCCAGTAGAAGAATCCAGCCTGCAGTCTTCACTTTGTTTTTTTCCAGACTGTTGAATAGTTGTAGATGTGGTGGGGCACTTTTAAACCCAGCTGGATAATCTTTCTGCCTTATTTGACCCTTTTATATACATGAAAATTTGTCCAAATAAGGTACTTGGAAATATTTGGAAAGGTTGAATCTATTTGTTCAAAGAATTTTTTTAGTTCTGTGTTCACATTTTGAATTATGGGCAGCTAGAAGGATGACTTTTTGTTGCTAATGGCTCCTAAATAAATAAAACCTGCTTACTTGGAAATAAACGGTAGTAAGCCTGGCAGTATTAACATGCTGCCAAGACCCAACAGGTTTTTTAGGTGTTCGCTGCCTCTGTCCCTCTTCACATAGCAGACAGAGTAAGTGACTTGAGGGGCAGACAGGAACTGTTAGCCTTCCTCCCTCCATAGTTTCACTGTCATTATCTACTACTGGCAACCCTGGTCATGCCATGAGACACCTCAACATAATTTTCATTTGAACAGTAGGATGCTGTAATGGTTCAGGTGGAGGAGATCACTCTTTGCAGAACCTGAGCTGGATTTTGTGACAGTCCTCAACTTACCTCTCCACTCACGCATTTTTATAACATAAGTATACATATGTAAAATGGCAAAAACAAGAGTGAAGAAAACAGCTTTTTTTTTTTTCCATAAAAGTTGCTGTTCTTTTTTTAACCTTAAATCTATCCCATGTTTGCACCTTTGGAATTTTAAAGGGCAGCATCTTTTGTGTCAACCATAGAAACTCTCTATTGTTACTTTCCCTGGCCAGTTACTTCAGCAGTTTTATAGGACAGAATCCCTCCAGGAGGAGCTCAGCAATGTAGTATCAGGCTTCTTACAATTAGTTGCTCTCCTGCTTTGTGTTCTGAAGTACAAATCATTTAGGTTCATTAAGTTTCTTTTCAGAGAGGTTTGTTTTATAAAAACTGGCCACTTGGTACAGAAAGCTATAGGATCACTTTTTTCTCATCCATAGTGTGTCATGATTTATAATGAGATACTTGTGATATATGTAGTATTCATTGGGGAGATACGCTGCACAGTGTTTTGTAGCCTATGTGATCAGCATTTTCTGTATCTAGATGGAGCATTATTGCTAAGCAGAAGTTCTTCAGTTGAACAGTGCCTGCTGTTATGGGTTTCACAACCATGTTACTTCAAAGCCCAGGTCAGAGAGAAGTTGTGACTTTGAAGTTATGTGTGAGCAGTCTGTGTAGGCCCAATCAATAAATCTCAGTGTTTGGGTGGTAAGTTTGCCCTGAGGAGCTACTGGAGAAGAGAGGCTGATACAGCACTAGGTATATCACGGTTTATGACATACTGTAATACTAAGAGTCTGAGACCCAATATCCTTGCTATAGTTAAGTGTGACAACCTTATCCCACATTTTTTTGCTAGAGTAGCTTTGTATACTAAGCAGCCTGTACTGTTAACTGGTTTTTGTGTTGTGCAGGCTGTGGGATACCTACCCCTAAGATGGGAATTCCTTCCCTGGATTCCTTTGGTTTTGTAGCTGTCACTTTTTTCAGCCAGCTCACTTAGTGGGATTATGCTAGAGATGAGAGGCTTTCCCATGGTGCTGATTAGTTAGACCTTAATACTGTCTCAGGTGAGGTATGTTTGGGATCCTGCTATCTGGAGACCTCACAAGTGATACTTGAATAAAACTAGGAGTGAAGGAGAGTGACAGGTCATGTAAGACAGCATGGAGGAGAATTAGCTGGAGGGAGTTGAAAGAATAGAGGATTCAACAGAAAGACTTAGGGAAAGGGTAAGTGAAAATACAAGATAGTAGCCATTGGGTGGAAATACCTTTCTTGCTGCTTGTGTTGACTTGAAGCTTCCCCTTTCAGAGCTGGCATTGGTTCCAGGATGTCCTACTGGGGACACCAGTTTCATCATTTCCTTTTTAATGTCAGCTTTGTTCAGCACTACTACTTTAGTGATGAAACCTATATTGATCAAAAGAAAAAATGTAACCCACTTCAGTTTTCTTTTGGAGTCAGCTTTTCTATGAAAAGGCATGTCACTAAAATCATTAAAATCTGTAAAGCCCTCTTCTGGAGAATGCTATATAACTAGTTATTGCTTAATTTCTCCGCTTCCCTTTAGAAACATAGGAAGATTAGATTTATTTGCATTGTTGTCACACAACTTCTTGTGAAGTGATACTTCATCCTTCGAAAAGAATTTTACTACCTGGATATTTTGATAGGCTGAAGAGAATAGAGTAGGAAAGTGATTTCACAACTTTATCTTTTAAACTGCTTCCCCTGAAAACAAAGCTAGTGCTCCCCATTTAGGGATTGGGAAAATGCTGTTCAGAGACTCCCTGACACACCAGAAGCTTAGAAGCTCTGTGTTAAATGAGGGCCACAGGTGACTTGGTGGTCAGGGCAGGGTGCTGAATGAAGAACATGTCCACACCTCTCCAGAGACACCTAATTAACATGGAGCAGGCTGTAGCTAGTTGTCACCTTTGTAACAGTCTAGGCTTTAAGGATTGCAGCCACATGCTTCTCTGCTCACAGTGGACAATCCATGCCAGGGTATCCAGACTGTATGGATGTACTGAGGTTAGCAGAATATCCTTTGCAGAACCATGGGGAATGCAGTTCAGCTATACATTTTTCCAGCCTGTTTCACCTAAGCATATAAAAGCACCTCACAGGAGAATGTTTTTGTTGTACTGAGGAAGAGGGCAAAGTGAGGAACAAACTTACTTTTCCTAGACTGTGTTAATGGAAACATTTGTGCTAAAACTCTTGTTACTGAGTCTTCTGCATAATCACCAAATGCAGATTTCGTTAGTATTATTTTGTTTTAGCTGAAGGATGGTGTGCTATGTATACCTTTTCCCACCCTGTTAGAGCTTCTTTGATCACACTCTGACACAGCTGAATCTAGGTATCTGTGCATGCAAGTTGTGAGCCTTGGAGTAAATATGTCAGAAAAGCCCAAGAGCAGTGCTGTCATTTGATGATGGAAGTCAGTCTGGCCTGACACGCTTAATGCCTGTGTCAAATGTCTATATAATTGGGAGCAGATTTTTCTGTTCTTATTTGAAGTGCCTGTTTTATAATAGTCATCTTTAACTTCCTCAATCAACTTGATATGGGACTATGTGTAAAGTAACATCATAGAATTG